TGACAAGAATGCCTGCCAGAATCAGGAGATAAATTTAGAGTCACAGTCAGAGGTAATGCTTTTGGGAATGCTATCAAAGTGAAAGACATGGTCCAAAGCCAATTGGACTGTTTGAGAGGCACCAGGTAAACTTTGGATGGGGATAAAGTGCACCATCTTAGTCAAAGTGCCCATTGTTTTTTCCCCTCTGAAGGGAGACAAAAGGATAGTGATGAAAAATGTAATCTGAGAAAAAATAAAAGAAGTCAGAGCTGTATCCGGTATACATGCTGAAACCCAGTGAGATGCTGGCTCATGGGCTTTGATGAGGTTCAGCAAGGGCTGAAGTGGACCTTACCATGACATATTTGAAGTGAGCAAGGGTCGACAGGAATCCTCCTCTACCTTCTCAGCACTGTGTAGCATATTCTATCTTGACAAGACATCTGTCTTACAGGAAATGTAGTCATAGGCGGAGCCAAGATGGCAGAGTGAAAGCAGTGACTTGCTTGAGCTCTCCCCCCAAACTCCTCCAAATACTCATAAAAAATGGCTCTAAACAAATTCTGAAGCAGCAGAACCCACAAAAAGACAGAGTGAAACAAATTTCCAGCCCAAGACAACCTGGATGATTGATCAGAAAGGTGTGTCGCGCCGGGCTGGGAGCGCAGCACAGCTTGGACGGGCAGGCCACAGCAAACCTGGAACAGGCCTCAGAGGACTGAATCTCAGGCAGCTGTGGAGGTTTCCAGACTCCTCGATCCACGAATGCCAAAGACAACTTAGAAGGTCAGTGGGAAAAGTCTGTTTCTGTCGGTGGTCAGAGAGGAAGGCGGGGTTTCAACTCCATTACCCAAGAGTGTGGCCCTGGCTGGCGCAGCTGCTTCCCAAGCTTCCGGCCCACAGACTGAGGGAGAATCCAGTGGCTGATCAGAGAGGGACTGCAGGGATCTCTTTGCCAGTGCTGAGGCAGGAATCTCTTGCTTTGCCCGTGTGTGGATCTGGGTCACAGTTCTGGGCGGCAGTGCTGGGGTGAGGAGGAACGCTGCTGTGGTGGAGCTTGTAGGCTGTGGAGAGGAACCCCTCCTCACAGTTACAGGACAGAAAGGAATACTTGTGCTCACAGGCCAGGAAAGGAGTAAACACCTCAACCCTTATCATACCACCTTGGAAGAACTGAAAATTTACAGGTCCCTACAAGTATCTCTGAAAACAGCTACACAAACCCCTGAAGCTTGGGACAGTACACTCTCCACATTGGAAGCAGACTCTTACCTTAACAAAGAGTTTAAAACTCAAGTAATTGGCTGGGATCATGAGCAAGCAGCGCAAAAAGAGTCAGACTATATTATCTTACTTTGGTGAAAAAGAAGATCAAAATATACAACCAGAAGAAGACAACAAATCAAAGCTCCTACATCCAAAGCCTCCAAGAAAAATATGAATCAGTCCCAGGCCTTGGAAGAGCTCAAAAGGGATTTTGAGAAGCAAGTAAGGGAAGTAGAGGAAAAACTGGGAAGAGAAATGAGAGTGATGCAAGAAAATCATGAAAAACAAGTCAACAGCTTGCTAAAGGAGACCCAAAAAAATACTGAAGAAAATAACACCTTAAAAAACAGCCTAACCCAAATGGCAAAAGAGGTCCAAAAAGCCAATGAGGAGAAAAATGCCCTAAAAAGAAAAATTGGCCAAATGGAAAAGGAAGTCCAAAAGCTTACTGAAGAAAATACTTCCTTAAAAATTAGAATAGAGCAATTGGAAGACAGTGACTTTATGAGAAATCAAGACACTGTAAAACAAATCCAAAAGAATGAAAAATTAGAAAACAATGTGAAATATCTCATTGGAAAAACAACTGACCTGGAAAATAGATCCAGGAGAGAGAATTTAAAAATTATTGGACTATCTGAAAGCCATGATCAAAAAAAGAGCCTAGACATCATCTTTCAAGAAATTATCAAGGAAAACTGCCCTGATATAGTAGAACCAGAGGCAAAATAGAAATTGAAAGAATCCACAGATCTCCTCCTGAAAGAGATCCCCAAAGGAAAACTCCTAGGAATATTGTAGCCAAATTCCAGAGTTCCCAGGTCAAGGAGAAAATATTACAAGCTGCCAGAAGGAAACAATTCAAGTACTGTGGAAACACAATCAGGATAACACAAGATTTAGCAGCTTCTACATTAAAGGACTGCAGGGCATGGAATATAATATTCCAGAGGGCAAAGGAGATAGGATTACAACCAAGAATCACCTACCCAGCAAAACTGAGTATAATCCTTCAGGGGAAAAAATGGTCATTCAGTGAAATAGAGGACTTTCAAGCATTCCTGATGAAAAGACCAGAGCTAAACAGAAAATTTGACTTTCAAATACAGGACTCCAGTGGAACATGAAGAGGTAAACAGGAAAGAGAAATCATAAGAGACTTATTAAGATTGAACTGTTTACATTCCTGCATGGAAAGATGATATTTGTAACTCATGAGAACTTTGTCAGTATTAGGGTAGTTGAAGGAAAAAAATTGTATGTATGTATGTATATATAGATAGATAGAGGGCACAGGGTGAGTTGAAGATTAAGGGGTCATATCTGGAGAATAAAATTAAGGGATGAGAGAGGATTATACTTGGAGAAGAAGAAAGGGAGAGGTAGAATGGGGTAAATTATCTCACAAAAAAAACAGAAAAGAAAAGTCTCTTACAGTGGAGGGGAAACGGGGAAGGTGAGAGGGAATGAGGAATCTTATTCTCATAGGATTTGGCTTAAGGAGAGAATAACATACACATTCAATTGGGTATGGAAATCTGTCTTACCCTACAGGAAAATAGGGGGAGAAGGGGACAAGAGAGCAGGGGGTGATAGAGAGGAGGGCAGATTGGGAAAGAGGGTAATCAGAAGCAAATACTTCTGAGGAGGGACAGGGTCAAAAGAAAGAATAGAATAAATGGGAGGGCAGGATAGGATTAAGGGAAATAGAGTTAGTTTTTCACAACATGTCTACTAAGGAAGTGTTTTGCATAACTGCACATGTACAACCTATATTGAGTTGCTTGCCTTTTCAATGAGGGTGGGTGGGGAGGGAGAAAGGGAGAAAATTTGGAACTCAAAGTTTTAAAAACATATGTTTTTAAAAAATTGTTTTCACATGCAACTGGGAAATAAGAAATACAGGAAATGGGGTACAGAAGTCTATCCTGCTCTACAGGAAAACAGAAGGGGAAGGGGATAAGAGAAGGGAGGGGGGAGAGATAGAAGAGAAGGCAGACCAGGGGAAAGGGTATTCAGAATGCATGCCATCTTGGGGTGGGGGGAGGGGTGAGAAATTTGGAGCTCAAAAACTTGTGGAAGTGAATATTGAAAACTAAAAATAAATAAATTTATATTTAAGACATCTGTCTTACCATCCTGGGCACCCAGAAGGTAGATTGCCATGATGTAAAAGTCCATGGAGAAGAATAATGCCCACAAGGCATAGTGGGTGTTAAAGAGAGCTCATGGACCAGAAATAACCATTTTTTCCCCACTTTCCTCTTGGCTAAAACAAACCTGCTAGAAGCTAGTCAACCATCAACCAATGAGTATTTCTGAACACCCCTGGGTGTACACTACTATGCTCTAGGGGATATGATAGTGGAAAGGAGACAGCACAATCTAGTGAGGAAAGGGCTAGGAGACAGATAGGAGATGGTAAATCAGTTAACCTCACTAGTTTAGGCCAGAGTGCAGCATCTTACATAAGGCAGATCCTGACAGCAACCCTGCCATACAAGTTCAAGAGAGGGTTCTCCACTTTCCCTTCTCAGCTCCTTCTCTCTTCATACCTCCCTTAGTCTGTTTTCTCAACCCACAACTCTTTTAAAACAGCCTCCATATTTCTCTTCATCTTCAATGCCTGCCTCTGCAAAGTCACCATCTGGGGCTTCTAATTTCCAATCTTACATCACCACCGCCCCTTCAGGAAGTCCCCTCTACCACTTCAGTGTTGGCACAAGCATTGCCTAAACCCAGATTTGTCAACGAAGTGTGGTGTGGGGATAGGGTGCTATCTTTAGAGCAAGGACAACCAAGGTTTAGTTCTTCCCTCAGATACACGTTGATTATGGCACCCTGGGCAAGTCACTTGCCTCTCCATGTCCCAAGCAACTTTCTAAGACTATAAGATGTGGAGCTGCACCGGGAGAGGGAGTTTTTTATATAAACTAAATCAAAGGTCTAATACCTATCTAAACACAATGTGACAGGTTGATTTCTCTCCTCTAAGTCATGTGGGGTACTCCAATGTAGGTTAAGTCTTCGAGGAAAGCTAGCTTTAAAAAAATATAAAACATTTATCAAGGGAGGATGTGTGTGTGTGTGATACTGGCTTCCTCTTCACTGTCCAAATCACGACTTTATCTTCATTTTTACTGGGTGATGGTGATTCATTTCATAAGGCTACTCAGGTATGTCAATGTTTTGTTACTGATTTTCCCCAAGCATGCTTGTATCTGCAATTCTCATTTTATCTTCACAACATCCCTGTGAGGTTGGTAGGCAGGTACAATATTCTCCAGCTTATGTATGAGCAAAGCCATGCCCCAAAGCATCAAGTTACTCATGCAAGGTCACATTGTGAGTTAATAAGCAAGGCCAAGGTGAGAATCCAGGTCTTTTGAATTCCAGCACAGGCTTTTTTTTAACCAACTGGCATTTGCTCTATTCTAAATCTGAATTTTCCCACCCCCAAGCCCCAACCTCTATGGACAAAAGACCAAGGTAACTCTGATAATTATGTCTCTGACAGGAATGAGAACCAGTGTACCCTCATTCTCACTTCCCAGACTGATCAGATCTTACCAGGGAGTCTGGGGGAGGGGGGCAGGGCTGGAAGAGACAGTAGGGTATGATGGAGTCATACACTGGTCAGAAAGGGTAGGACCCCAGCAAAGGATGTCCTAGCTAGGGACCCTGAGAAGAGAACAGGATTCTCTGGGGAGGCAGCAACCATGGAGGAGGAAGGAGGGTGTTAACTTGCTTACCCTCCAAGGCCGCCTTCCAGCTGGTACTGCCCTCGTACCCGGATCCTGATCTTCTCAGCAGCACCTCCTGGCCCCGGCCCTCCCCGTCCCCAGGGGACAGCACTCTTGGCAAAGGAGCCGACGCGGCTGGAGCGGGTGGTGGAGGGGGCCGGCTTCTCCTAGGAGGCTCCCGGACAGGCTCCATGCCCCCCTCCCGCTCCAATGCCCCCGCCCCTCTGCTAAAAGCGCCTGGCACTTCCGTTACCAGGGTAGGGGGAAAACAGAGCCAGAACTGCCCAGAGACCCTCCTTTTCTCCCTCCCTCCCTCCCTGGTGGGAGCAGGAACTGAGGATGGGAGGGACGCAGAAGAGAGCTTCCGCAGCTCAGGGACAGTGGTGGCGTGTTCAGCTCCTCTCCCGACCAGGATCCTTAGCAATGAGAAATGTCCCTCCTTGCTTCACTCTTCCACAGCCGCAGCATCAGCATCGCAGCATCGCCTCTTGAGTTTCTCAGCTTGGGAAGGGGGGGGGAGGGAGAGAAGAATGAGGGAGGAGAGAAAAAAGGAGGGTGGAGAAAGAGGCGCCAAAGAGACGAGGGAGGCAGCCAGGCGGGAGGACAGGAGGAGAAGTGCAATGAGGTTGGAGTGTTTCAGGAGCGAGAAGGCGGGGGGGGGGGGGGGGTTAGATGTGAGAGATGAAAGGCTGGAGGGGTAGGAGTGCCTGGGATCAAGAGGAGAATCAGAATAGGAAGGGAGCACTAAGGAATGCGAGTGGAGAGGGGGCAGAAGGACCCACAGAGAAAGCTTTTAGGAGAGGCTGGTGCACCAGGAACCTGGGGATACGGGGCGCGGAGTGGGCATAGAGATGGAGAGTAATACGGCGAAATTAGCGGGATTGGGGAACGGAGCGCACAGGAGTGGGGTGGAATTTGAGAAAGGGAGGTAGGGATCTACTTTCTCACTTCCATCCCGGATTCCCTGGCTCCCACTCAGGCTGGAGCTAGGGGGCGGGTGAAGAAAATTCATTCACCAGAGCTGGATGGACCGCTTAGAGGTCACAGAACGGGAGGGGGGAGCTCCAGGGAGTTTTGTTAGAGACCTGCCCCAGCGGAACCTTGGACAGAGAAGTGGCTTTGCAGGAGTATGGTGCTCTGTGCGCCTTAGGACTGGTTTGACTAGAGATCCTGGGAACCTGGTGAGGTGCTGGCATCTGGCACCTTATGTAGAACAAACATATTTTCTTTATTATTATAAGGGCTTATTCAGGGTATAGTTAATTACTTACAGAACCCCCTTCGGACTTAGAAATAGAACTGGGATTCTTCACCTGAGGTCCACGGACAGATTCAGGGGGTCCCTGAACTTGGACGGCAAAATAAAAATTACGTCTTTATTTTCACTAATCTTTGGTTTCCTTTGTAATCAGTCCTGTGTCTTGTTTTGTATATTTTATAAAATATTGGTCCTATAAGGGGGTCCGTGGGTTTCACCAGACTGCCAAAAGGATCCAAGACCCAACAAAAGATAAGAACGCCTGAACTGCACCACTAGGTAGTACAATGGATAGTGATGGGCTTTGAGTCAAGAAGACCTGAGTTTGAAAACTGTCTCCATAGACATTTATTAGCTATATGATTCTGCACAAGTCACTTAACGTCTCTAAGTACTATACAAATGCTAGTTATCATTATTACTAGTTGGAAGGAGTTTATTTCTCCACCTCAGCGCTTAATATTCTCATGGATGATGAGAGGAGTAAGTCCATTCCACCATTGAGACATAAGATATAGAATCTTAGAGTGAAGAGGGGTCCCTAGAGATAATCTAGCTCAGCCTTTTTATTTTACAGATTAGATAAAGAGATTTACTGAAGGTCAAATAAAACATTGGCAAGGAACTGCAGGGAGAAGCAAGACCACAGCTCCCCCTCAAGAAACATGCATCTAACCTCCTAAGCTTAGCCTGTTTCCTCATCTCTAAAGTGGAGGTAATGATAACATCTACAAGGTTATTGTGAAGATCAATAAAAATATATGTGAAGCATTTTGCAAACCTTCTTCTTATTATTATTATCCTGACTCACTTTATTTAAAAGCAGTATTTCAGGTGTAAGTCCGTGTTCAGTTCGCAGAGACTGACAAGTAGAAAAGGTCCAAGGAGGCCTAAAGTAGAGGAATAGACAAGTTTAGGTGGTATTATCTCCATTGTTGATGTCATTTAATTATTTTCTGTCATGTCTGACTCTCCATGATACCATTTGGGGCAAAGATACTAGGGTGGTTTGCCATTTCCTTCTCCAGTTTATTTTACAGATGAGGAACTGAGACAAACAGCGTTAAGTGATTTGCCAGGGTCACACAGCTAGCAAGTATCTGAGGCTGAATTTGAACTCAGGTCCTCCTGAATCTAGGGCTAGTGCACTAGCCGCTGCCACATTACTTCTGTTAGGTAGTATTTTCTAGAGGAAATGATTTTGGAAGTAGGCTTTAAAGGAGGTAAAAGGTATGGATTGACAGAAAGGTGGGCACAAAAAACTCCTACTAGAGGAAATGATTTATGTAAAGACACTTCAGTGAAAATAAATGTCACATGTGGGATATGACAAGAAATAGCTTGGCTGGGAAGGAATGAATATATTAGGGAGTAAGGAGAGGTGGGTTTGGAGAGGTCAATGGGAGAAGAGCTTTTGAAACCAGACGCAACCTTAGAAGTCAGACAGAATTATTCTAGGTTCTAAAGCAAGACAGTGATAAGTTGGCTAACAAAGAATCATAAATTTTTAATGCTGGTCCAATCCTCTCATTATAAAGATGAGAAAATTGAGTCTCAGAGAAGTTAAAGGTCTTATCCAGGCTGCTCAGAAAACTTTAAATGAAGATGAGACCAAAGCTCTATAAGCCCAAAGGAACAACAACAAAAAACCACTATAAAAATATAACAAAACTTTAAGACGTTATTCCACTGAATTAATTGTTTCTTTAGGGATTCTACCTCTTTTCAGAAATCATTCAAGGGGACAGGTAGGTGGCACAGTGGATACAGCACCGGCCCTAGAGTCAGGAGGACCTGAGTTCAAATTTGGCCTCAGACACATGATACTCACTAGCTGTGCGACCCTGGGCAAGTTACTTAACCCAATTGCCTCACCAAAAAAAATATTTTTTTAAATCATTCAATATCATAACAATTTAAATGAAAAGAACTATATAGTTATAATGACCAAGTTTGGCCCCTGAGAAGAGATGAAGAAATGCAGCACTTTGGTTGGAGAGATGAAGAATTTTGTGTGTGGAACGATGCAGGCCCTATCAGATAGTCCATATATGTTGGGAGACATCACTTAACTGCTTCCCTTCCTCCTTTATTCAGAAGGGAAGACTCATTAGACTGAGAAGGGATAGGGTAAGGGAAGAGCATATTCAGAAATGACTGTGTGCCAATAAAACTTAAAAAAAAAAGAAATTATTTAAATAGTTTATGCCAGAAACCACTTTAGGAGTAAGAGTTTTTCTTATTTATTTCTTACCTGAGAGGTGATTGAGTACATTTTTCCTCTGAAAAGTTTTCTTTGATTTTTTTTTCTTTTTGCTTTTTGGTAAGGCAAACGGGGCTAAGTGAGTGTCAAATGTCTGATGCTGGATTTGAACTCAAATCCTCCCGACGCCAAGGTCAGAGCTCTATCGATTGCGCCACCTAGCTGCCCCTTTTCTTTGATTCTTGTTCAGTTGCAAAAGATTTTTTAAAAAAAACACTTCGGTTACTGAGAAGCTAATTCAGATCTGAATATAATTACAGTGAGAATGAAAGCAAATAATAAATATAATGCAGAAAAGAATAAATTGTCCAAAATTACCCTCAGAAAATAGTCACAGCCAAATATCCTTCAGTTTATCTACTATGTGCATTTTTCTTCAAAGGGAATCTTCTTGCTTAATTGAAATATTTTCCAGAGTCTATTATAATGAAATTCATTGCTCTAACATCTCAAGAATGACACAGAAATGTAGACTATAAATCTGTTTCTGTATTCCCTTTGGAAAAATGAAACTACTGGATATTTTATTAAGGTGGGAGAATTGATATTTTCAAATGAAATTCTCTTTATTGTACATTAATGCCCCCTCACCCAAATTTTTCCCTTACAAATTTAGAATTTGTTAATTTCTAGACTTGAGCTAGAATTAACATAGGGTGATTGACACTATGCCCCAGGTGGCAACATGAGAAGCATATATTTCTTTTTTTCACCACTTAATAGTATTTTATTTTTTCCAACTATATATAAAGATAGTTTTCAACATTCACTTTTATGAGATTCTCAGTGAAGGATATAATTTCTTTGCCCTGAGCTGTTCTCTTTCATATTTTCATGAAGATGCCTTCTGAAGTCCCTTCACAGGGTTCTGGCCTGGTGGTCTTAATGACTGGAATCTTCACAGGATCAGAGGGAGAAGTCATGGAGGTGGGAGATTAATACTATCTGTGGTATACAATTCTCACAGACAACTCTCCCCCCCATTACAAACTTTTGCAAATTAGGAGTAATATCTACTTTCTACCTCAGAAGACTGCTGGGGTGGGATGGGGGGGATGCTTTGCAAATTGTAAAGTGGTATTTAAAAGTGAATTTATTGTGACATGCTTTGACACCCAAAGTCCCACTATAGTACTAGGGACTAATTATTGTTGTTGTTGTTTGCTAGCACTTATATAGTATTTTAAGGTTTACAAAGTGCTTTACATATATTATCTCATCTGATCCTGACAACAACCCTGTGAGGCTGATGTTATTATTATCCCCCATTTTGCAGATTAGGAAACCTAAGCCCAAAGAGATTGAGTGCTGTACCCAAAGCTAGTTAAGGCAGGATTGAGATTTAGGTCTTCATGTCTCCCAGTCCAGCGCTCTATCCACCATGCTACTTAGCTACCTTTGGTAGAGAAGTATATGATATTGGGGGGAGGGAGAAAGAGGCATTAGAAAAGAATTGCCCCTTATTAGATTGTGAGCTCCTTGAGGGCAGGAATTGTCTTTTGCCTCTTTTTGTATTCCACCACTTAGCACACACAGTGCCTGGCACATAGTAAGCACTTAATAAATGTTTATTGGTATATTGGTAAGTGATTGCAAAGGGAAGCTAGGTGGCACAGTAGATAGAACACTGGGCCTGGAGTCAGGAAGACTCCTCTTTGTGAGTTCAAATCCAGCCTCGGACACTTACTAGCTGTTTGACTATGGGCAAGTCACTTAATCCTGGTTGCCTCAGTTCCTCATCTGTAAAATGAACTGGAGAAGGAAATGGCAAATCACTCCAGGATCTTTGCCAAGAAAACCATAAATGGGGTCATGGAAAGTCAGACACAATTGAAAAACAAATCAACAAGTGATTGCAAAGATCTTTGCAGTTTATAGACAGACCTTAGATATCATCTGATCTAGCCCATTCACCTGAGAGTGAAAAACTGAGATCCAGATTGTCATTCTCACTACCCCAAACATTACGCAATTTATTAGGTCATAGGGCACCTAAGTCTCATCCTATACCTTCTTTTTAATTA